TGTCCTGAAGGAGAAACTATTTTATCCCACATTTTAAAGATGAGAAAACTAAAGGATGCAGCAATTTATTTGCTCAAAATCACACAGCCAAGAAGTAACAATAAAAACATGGAAACAAAACCACTTGGTCTGGCCCTGAATTTCATGTGATACTATTCATCCTACTTTTTTTTTTTTTCTTTTACAGATCTATTTTTATACACCTAGCAAATTTCTACTCCTTCCACTTTGGGTATACCTACTGTCTACGATTCCAAATATTTTATGATCATGGAGATTTTTCAAAGATCAAAAGGCTTTATGTGTCATGTATATGTACCAATTTCCTACATTGCATGCAATCATTATGGACTACAAACATGTACTAATAATAGTCAAAAATGCACACAAAAAAAGAAAGTTTGGTTACTTCTACCCTTTCTCTCCATCTTACTATCTCATTAAAACAAGATTTTGGGATGGCTACCCCTGCACCTTGGGCTGACCGCTGCAATACTAATTAATCATTGAGAGTCCTGAAAGACTGGGATTGTAAAATAATTACCTACCAAGCAGTGGCAATTTGAATTTATGTCTTAGTATTTCTTTTGGAATGTACTAATCCCTCTTCCTTTTGTGTTTTAGGAAATATGCTAAAATACTGTAATACTTAGGAAAAGGAGATGAGTCTCTAAGAGGTGGCATGGACTTTTTTTCCCTTTTAAATCTTATGTTGGAGGCTTTGCATCTTTTATCATGTATTACCTATAGATTTTGCACTGTAGTCATATTTAATCAGTAATAACATGTTGAATGTTTTTATTTATTACATATAAATATTTTAAAAGAAAAAGGAAATGTTATTTCACATTTCCACGTTACTTTTAAATGAAAACAACCAATCAAATTGTGCATCATCCAACTTTCCTAAATTCTGAGGAATTAAAATTAGTGTCAGTTAGCCAGGTGTTGTGGTGCACACCTGTAATCTCAGAACTGAGAAAACCAAGGCAAGAGAATCGCTGTGAGCTTGAGGCCTGCCTGGGCTACATAAGCAAGTTCAAGGCCAACTTGTGCTACACAGAGAGATTCTGTCTCAAAAAAATAATGTAAAACTCTTGTTAATTAAAATTGGATTATTAATTTTGATCACAGGCCTGTTTGTCTTGGATCACGTTTACAACAAAACAATAATTTTAGTGTTATCTTCATAGATCCGGTTGTCATTCTGAAACTTTGGCATAGTTTATTTAAGGACATTTCACAAGATTATGATAAAACAAGTTAGTGTTTTTCTGCTGAACTTTTCTAACAAAGTGCTTGTCTTTCCTCTGTATCTGATGACAAATCACTGACCAGGAAAACTGTCTCCTATTTTCACACTTGCTTTTTGGCATACAAAATCTCCATGTTGATGTATTTGATGTGTGATTATAGGTATCACTTACTGTGCAGAGAGAACCACACGCATGCTAGTGCTCCCATACTGAGTGACCCTAAGGTGACTCGACTTTGCAACATTTGGCCAGTTGTAATGTATGGAGGGCTAGGAATGAGATTCTATATGTTTGGTAAGGCTCTGTACAAAGTTACACCAAAGCTACAGTTTAGATTCAGCAAAATCGTTTTTAGCCAGTGGCTTTCCCTGGTTAAAGGAAAAAGGACGAAGGATTTGAGGATGATTTATATCACAAAAAATTGCTTCCAGACGGTTTATATTTTTATGGGGGGGAATGGAGTACTTTCAAAATAATTATTAAATAAGTAGCAGAATCCCCATGTAGAATTGAGATCTCCACCAGGAAGGACAACATATATTACTGGCATCATTCCAGTTGCTCAATTTAAGCAGAATCATCAGGTGATTGATTCCAGGAGGGAGCACATCTAAATTAAATAAAGAGTGGATTACAGAATACTTTCTTGTAAATAAAAGGTATGCTATGTACATCCTGGCCTCGAGGAAGCCTTCCAGTCTCTGTAGATGGGGAAGTTTGCACTGGTATGCACTTTATGAATTATTTTAATAATACTCAAGGATTGCTTTGCATGCTACAGAATGGCTTAACAGATTTTTCCTGAAACTGTCATAGCCTTTGAAGTGATCGTCAGGAAGTGGGTTTTCACATTTGTAGAGCTCAAAGTAGTAATACTTTAGTGTTTTGTGATGCACAAAGTAATAGATAACTTTAAAATTGGATAGTATAATAATAATGATGAATTTAAGGATTAAAAATAAAACACATAATAAGAATGCCAAGATTAATCCTTAATGTCTTGGTAGGCTTATTTTGAAGGTGGTGTCTTCTTTAATATCCAATAGAATAAGAATGCAGCTGTTCTTTGGCCCTGAAAAAGCATTCATGACTCCAAGGCCAACCCCAACCGATTGGCTACGCACATTAAGATTGTTTCTTTGTTACCATCCCCTACTGCTTCTAGTGTAATTAAAACCCCTTTAAAATTGAATTCCTAACAGAATCAGCAGCACATTGCCAGGGGTACAAGGTTGCTTCAGGATGCTATTAGAGCAAGCCTGAGTCACGTGAACATCAGGAATCATCAGCAAACATGGGTGACCCCTGAAAATGGGCAATTATCATCATATGTCATGCAAGCCTACAAAAAAGGAAAGCAGAGAAGCATTTTAAATGGCCTTGACTGTCCTTTGTGTGTCTACCTAAACTTACAATCTGTAACCTGAGGTATATTCATGTCTTCAAATCACACTTGAGAGAAAATTAATGATGTCAACTTCTGTTGACATTAAACAGTGTGAAATTTTGTAAAGAATTTCAGACCTTTCTCTGCACTTTGTATTTTCTTTGTAGAATCTGTGTGCAAGGCATTTTCCTTCCAGTTATTGTGCTTTATGATCCTCCTAGCTTTGAGACAAATAAAAAAAGCAGTCAATGGGATAGATAATCTTTCTTTCTTGAAAAACAAAAGACAGATCTGAATGTTTTCTTCTTTCCAAAAATAATTTCTTTAAATGTATTTTTTTTTAATTCAAACTCTCAGTTGGTGACTATTTTTGCTCTTCAGAAGCTTCCCCCTCCTTGGTTTCATCCTGTTCCTTCATGTTCTGTGGGATCACTGGACTATCAATACTGACTCATAATTATTTGTCTCCCATTTAGCAACAAGGTGCAAATTTGCTAACTGAGAAGGTGAGCTCTGACAGCTAAGCTCGATGTCAGTCCAAAGGCTGAGCTTGCTGCACTGGAAAATTTCCCTGGAGGATTATTCTGTATGCAGTGGGGTCATTTGCTGAGCTGTCTGATGTGGAAAGATAGAAAATGCAGCACCCACCAAAGAGAAGCAGGATCATAGGGTTCCTTTCAGAGCACTGAAATCAAAGGACAATTTCTGGTCCACTTGTTTCCAAGTATGTTCTGGGAACTGGGGTCTCAAAGGACATTTTTCCCTTATTAGTGTTTTTTAGAGAAGTCATTGACGGAGAGCCCTAAATCAGGAGCTGCAGGCAAACTTAGTGATGTTCATGGGGTATACTTAAAAATGACCACCAACCCAGAGTCCTGTGTCTGCCCAATACTCAAAGGTTTTTCAAGTCTATAAAAATATTTGGAACTAGAAGGGAAAACGCTTTGCAGTGATTCCAAAATAAAAAAATATACTTCTACAAAAATCAGCATTTAATTGTTTAATTTTATGTTTAATTGAATGATGTCAACAAAAATATTTACAAAATATTTAGTATCAACTGGTTATTATTAAATTTACCCTTTGTAAAACTTTTCACTGCCTTTGAAAGCAAATTTTGGATTCACTTTTCTCACTTTCCAAGATTTTGAGGATGGTATTTGTAAATGAAAGTCAGCAATTTAAAATTGAACATTTAAAATTTTTACACAGGCATATGTGTTTCATGTGATGTGTAGGAGCATCCTTAACAATCTTTAGATGACGGATATAGTATGACCTAAAAAAGAGAGTCCACACCTATTGAAGATTTTAAAACAGCTTTGCACCTGTCCTCTCTTTTTCGTGTGTATGATTATTCGTGTGGATGCTTATCTGTTCAACCAAGAGCAAGGAGGACCAGAGTAGAAGATAGGGAGAGACAGATTCTGGCTTATTCCTCTGTAAGGACCATAGATTAGGTAAAATGACCAAATTACTAGTCTAAACATAAGAAAATCCACAGGCCCTGTACATCGCAAGAGAGATCCCCAAATGGTGCCCTGATTCTGTTGAACAAAGGAGAGTTCTCTTTGAGTTGGGACGGCAAAGCCATCGGATTTGATCACATTGGTAGAATCCCAGTATCCCCTTATCTTAGTTGTGTTCCCTCCCCACAAACAACCAAACCCTTGCGTGCACTCATGTTCTAACAAACCTTTCCAAACTTAAAAGAGATTTCCATTTTTTAGAACAGGAAATTTGAAGTGATGGGGACAGGAGAAAACAGAGGTTCTCTGAATTTCATGTGTGATGATCCTGGTCTTTAATTCAGTGGCCTAACTAGTTCAGTTTTCATTCTGTTCATCTTATGTGGAGTGATGAATACCGATTCCCTCCAATGCATTGAAAGCCAAACTTCCTTATAATCCAGTCCTCCTGACAATAACCACTACTAACACTAATCCTTGCAGAATTCTTTCTCTAAATATACTAAAGTACTATTTATATATTTTTAAAATATATTTTCACTTAACAGTATATCTTTCATATTTTCAATTTCATCACGGGAAGTCTCCTCCTTCCCGATGACCACCTGGTATCCCACTGCATAACTGGGTCATAATTAATTTCACTGCCTTCTGTTGCTGGGCATCTCAATTGACTGTTTAGCTTTGACCTTTCAAGAGAGTGGATCATGTGCCTAAATGAACCGTTGTATATTGGCTAGAAATATGTTTTGGCTTCATTTGTCCCAGGAACAGAACGGATCAAACCTTTCTCTTTACTCTTGCTTGTTATTAAATGTAAACCCTATGTGTAATTTGTCATTTATTTATTTGGGTTTTTTTTTGTTTTTGCCTTTTTCTCTTACGCAGTCATCCACAGACAGAGAGAAGGATGACCCAGCTCTACCGGTAGGAAGCAGGGGCTCTGTTGGCCTGTTCCTGTGCCTGTGGAGAATGTGGGGCAGGGGTGGGAGCCAGAGGGCTGAGGGTTCAGCAAATCATCTTCTCCCTTGGAATATATATCTAGCTTAACCCACTGGGCTGTATGTATACTCTGTCATACAATTAGTAGCTACCGGATTCTGACATCCACTGACATGCTATTTCTTACCCAAGATTTCAAAATTTTGAATTGTCTCTTCCTTTGAGTATAAACTATGATAGGAGTTGAAAGAGTAAGAAATTTCCAAATTACATTCCAAGGGATGTTGAGCTGTTGTTTGGGGACAATGTGGAATCTAATGCTTGGTAACTCTTTTCTTTGTTTATCTGCATGCACACACCTTTGGACTGAAAATTTCTTTTGGACCCATCAAAAGAAATGTTGCATGAGACTTATATATTCAGTATATAGATAATGCCTGAAAAATGCTTTAAATTCTTCTGAAGGTATAATCTGATTCTGTTGAAGATATCCACAGCACAGTTCTTCCCGTTTCCCACAATAAGGACCATAGGAACAATGATTATGAAAAGTTATTAACAAAAAACACATTTCTGCTTGCTTATCCAATTAACATGCCACATTTTAGATTGTGCAATGTGACAAGGAAATGGGCTAAGTTTTTTTATTCAGCCAGCAGTGATTATATTTCAATTCTATTCAGGTTTCCTAATCTTTCCTCTAAAATAATTGAACCTTAATCATTCAAATTCACACTAACTAAATAGCACGATGCATTTAAAAATACTATAGACTTTTAATGTTTAAAAAGACTAATAGTAAAAAGAGTTCTTCCTCTTGTAATGCTCAAAGTAGGAAAAGTAAGATGTTCCTTGACAGCTCATAGGATATACTAAATATACTACTAGCCTATGAGCAAAAACTTCAGTCTCTTCCTTTGAGAAGCTTATGATCTCCTTCACCCCTGAGGTACTATCAATCCCCTGATTCTTCTCTGAACCCTGTTGAGTTGAGAGACCATTGATTAACTCAAATCACATGAAGAAAGTCAAATTTTTCCATATATCTCATACTGAGAATTTACTCATATTTCAACTTCACCATGGTTTCACAGTTGCCACCATGTATTTGGACCATAATGGTTAATAAATTTTTTTTAAATATGGAGCATATGTTCAATAGTTTGAAGACACTGCCCAAGTTATGTGTTAATCGTATTTCTTTAGTAGAGACATAGTGCTCTAACTGGTGCCTAGAAAGTCTAAGGATGGGTATTAAGTATAGCACTTTGCAAACATTTAATTATGGAATCTCTAACAAAATTTTTGTTAGTAAACCACTTGTGGGTTTAAAATATACTCGAATATTTGGGAAAATCCAACAAGGTAGATGATAGGAAGACAAAAGGAAATAGTATTTTCCTTTTACCTGGTATTTCATATTAAACTTTGTAATGAAATTAAATTTCAGAAAGAAATTGTGTACCACACCTCCTCTTCACATAAAATCTGTCTATAAAGTTTGGCTATCTCTAAGGATCTTAGCCCATGACATGCAGCATAAAATCAATAAGGGGAAGAAAGCAGCTTCTATTTGGGATGAAAATCTGTCCAGATATGGTAGGTTTGGGACAGAGCTCCTTTAAGACCATTTGCTTTTAAAATAAAAAGAATTTGGGGATAACTTGAGAACCTCATTCCTCACATCTCAGTTCCATTTTTGGGGGCAAAGGATGACACCTCGTAGGTGTCTGTGCAAAGGAATCTGTCCTGAAGCCAGGAGGCCCTCCGTGGGTTAATGATAAGAAGCTGCATTTCTCTGGACATCATCTACACAGACCATAGTGCTCTCCAGGGTGGAGAAGAGGCTCCACAGCAGACATACAAGAGGATCATTTGGGAAACAGAGAAATTATTAGTACTATGTCATTTACTTTCTGTACTTTTTTAAAAAATGTTTTAGATGCTCATATTTTAGTATGTATGTCTATACAAATATGGGTATTGATATGGATACAAATATACACATCCAAAGATTGTCTAATAGGATGTATAATTCAAAGAGTTTAGAGAATACCCACTAGTTTAGTCAGCGTGTTTGGGAAAAGCAAATCTGAGATCCATGGTTCTGCTATTCACATTTTGTCTGTGTGACCTGGACACCTCATTTTATTTCTCTGAAACTAAGTTTCCTCATCTACCTAAACTTAACACTGAGAATGAGATGAATGATGTAAAGCATATAGCACATTGCCTGGCATTTACTAAGCTCCAAAAAATTAGAAGTGATTAATTCATGTAAGAAAGGATGTAAGAAAGCCATTTCCTCTGGAGGTTTGAAATGTACTGTGAAAATCTTTGATTCAGTAGTGTGTGCTCATGTGTTAGAGACAAATGGCTACCAGAGACCTTATCTATAATGCACTTGCCATTAATTGCTGAGAAATAACAACCTCTTTGGTTTCTCTACTCAGGCTAAGCCACGTCTCCAGCGAGGTGGAAGTTCTGCCTCCCTCCACAACAGTCTCATGAGGAATAGCATCTTCCAACTTATGATTCACACTCTGGACCCACTTGCTGAAGGTAAACGTCAGGCTTTGGTTGGGAGCTTGCTTGGGTGAAAGACAGTGACAAAGGCTTTGCCCCTGTCACACAAGCCTGCTGGCCTCCTCTTGGTTAGCATCTGCCAGAGGAAGCCCTGACCCTTTGCCGTGCTTTATCTGTCACAGCTCAGTTCATGACGGGTGGTTTGGTACCTGGAGTAGGATGTGAGACCCATGTACTGATTCTGTCTTTTGATGCCTCTGGCACAAATAGCATTTATTATGAGGCAGATAATGGAAAGGTTTTCCTCCCATGCAACTAGAGTAACAGTTTTCCTTTATCATCCTTTCTAAGTTTCAAAACAAAATTGTGTGTAAAGATAAATTGCACTCCTCATAAAAAAGAAAAAGAACTCCATGATTTAGGAGCTGTTTGAGTAGCTTGGGGAATGATGTTCACAGCAGTGCATTGACATTGTACTGATCCTCTGTCATTTGAAGAGGGTGACTGGTGAGCATCTAAACATCCAGATAACCCTAAAATAGTTGCCTGGCAGACAGTGGAGACCAAGAAGATTTGGTGCACCTCCTGGGTTAATCGTAAAAATTATCATTCCAGTATTATGTCCTTTCAATTTACTTGGTCACAAGAAAAGCAAATATATTGTGTTTCTTCAACTGCATAAATATTCCAAAACACTAATTTTTCAGAAGTTAAACATCTTGTATGGCAAATAAATATCAGAGCTTTGCCAGTAGTATTGGATTCGAATGTCACCAAGTCTCCCTACACCCCGGACTGTCTAATTGGGCCTGGTATTGTATGGCAGTGAGCAAGGGTCATAGGAAGAATGTGACCTGCGAATCAGCTATTTGCTACTAAACAACACATAAGATCTGATTGCCAAGCATGCCGTGTATCTTAGAGTTCTCGAAATATCAAACTTGGCTAATTTCAAGGGTACAGCAATCAATAGATTCATACAGCATAAAGAATCTGGGACCCAAGAGCAGCTCCCCAGCTGCCCTCATCGAACTTATGCCACCCACCCAGGGTAACACATGAAGATCACAGGGTCACCTGCCACACAGATAAACAGCATGGAGCACTTGGTTATTAAACATCTCCCTCTAACACCCCAGTGAGTTGACAGCTGATATGGTATTACCCAAGGATTCAGGTTCTATTTACTAGAGGTCATCCTGCCAGGGACATATACATGCTGTTATTCTTACTTATCCAGAGGTTCTTTTGGCAAGACGATTAGAACTGCTCACAAGTTTTCTTTTCCTTCCCATGGTGTACGCCCCAGAGAAAGGAATAAAGGATTCTCAAGCCAGCTGTTGTCACTATCTCCTGCTGGCCACTGAGAAGTCATGTGACTTTGGAAAAGATAGGGTTTCTCTAGATCTTGGTTTGTTCATCAATACAGTACTTTTCTTTGTTGAGCATTCTACAATTGACAAAGCGTTTGCCTACCTATAAGATTACTCTTCACAGTAACACTTTATAGCTAACATGTTTCTCCTTTCATAAAATATTGTGCCACCAACACAGATCTCAAACGTGTCTACTTCTCTCGCTCTGCCAGTGCCAGTGCCCCCTCCCAAGCTGCCATTGAGATTCCTCACTAGTCTTCCACTGCTACCTGTGCATATTTTCCACACTGCAACCCAAGTAATCTTCTTTAAAAAGTAAATCAGTTTGTGTCACTCTTGTTTATGAACTTAGTGGCTTACTAGGACTCTTAGGAAAATTATGGTGCCCTTACTATGGTCTCCATGGTTTGTTCTTGTTTCAGGCTCACTTTAGCCGTCTTTCCATCTTCAGACAGGCACCTCTTCTCAGCCTCAGGGGCTTTGCTGTAGCCGTTTCTGCCACCAGAACCCTTTTCTTCCTTTATCTTCTCCATTTCTCCCAGCTCCACGCCTTGCCTTTCTTCAGCCTGGTATCTAAGGAAACTTCCTAGTGATCTAGCATAAATCAGGATCCCAACCTCACCTCTCAATAGCCCTTTAGTTGCAGTTGCTGAGTGTTTGTTGTCTTTCTGCCATGAAGTAGTGTTTTGAGAGCCAAGTGCTCGATTTTATTCACCAAAGCTTATGCTGCTCGGGCTCAGAAGGATTAATCAACTTGGCCAAAGTCATTATAATAAACTAATATTCACACAATTCTAAAGCCTCCAGAAGCTGTACAGATTTAAGATTGAAGGTGAACTGTATCTTGCTTATATTCTCTATCCTATTGTTCTTATAAATTGTGTGAGAAGAGAAAGGAATGATTCTGTCTGTTTTCAGTTATGAGCAAGTGACTGAGTATGCTTGTTTGGGGGAAGGTAGTTTTCTGTAATGAATAAGAAAGAAGCCACCAGATCCAGAATCTCTGGATCCAGATCCCAATTCTACATTATCAGCTGTGTGATCTTGAACAATTTACTTAACCTCTCTTTATCTCAGCTTTCTCATCTATAAAATCGAAATGATATGTAATGACGCCTGCACTGTAGAGTTTTTATAAAAATTATAGTAAATACATGTATAGCATTTAGCACATTATAAGTGCCAAATATAGGTTTCGAATATTCTACTTCACTATTTTGTAAAATAATACAATATATGAGTTTTTAGAATATATCATGTATGGATAGAAGTTCTCTATGATGAATATGATCGTTATGCATACCTACGATGAACCAATAAACTTGATTTTTTAAAAAGATTAATTTAACTGATATATTGTTGAATTTGATAAACAATAGAAACTGAACAGTTTCAGAAAACTAGATATGAACAGATTTTTTAAAACTGACAAAACTCTTATGTAAAGAGAAAAAACTGAGAAAAATTCTGCTACAGTTGATCAAACACATGTTTTATAAGTGATTAGACAGAAGTACAATCATTAGAAGAGTGGTTTTTAAAATGCGATTGATGCTCTTTGAAATCAATCTTGTTTTTAAAAAGTTTATTAAATGTCAAGCCAGGAAAATATCATAAATATGACATATGTCAAAATTTCAGTTAGCAAATGACAAAGCTTTATGCTAATCTTATAGAAAATATGAATTTAAAACTCATAATGGTTTAGACACTCAAAATTTAATTGATGACTAAGTGTCCACATAAAGGAAAATTATAACCAGCACACTGTAGCTTTTTGTACAGTGCTTTATCAGATAATTGCTTGAAATAATGTTGTACACTTATTAAATTTCTAGGTGAAAAATTTTTTAAAGTGTATTGGTCAGCTTTCCCCTTCCTGGGACAAAATACTCAACATTTGCATTTTGAAGAATGAGAGGTTTATTTTGACTCATAACTTCAGCAGACTCCGAGACAAGAACATCATAGTGTAAAGGATAACCAGAAATCAGGACACAAGGAGAGAGGACATAGAGAAGAAAGGGTAGAGAAATAGCCCCCAAATTCATAACCACTTGACCTGCTCAGACTTATCTGAAGTATGCTTTACTAATCTGTCAAACCAATGATGGTTTACAGTCAGGAATAACCACCACAAAATGTTATAGTGAAAAAATGCTTTCCTCCTCCATCAACTTCACAATTTTCCTCAATTCCTTGATTATCTCCCTAAGAAACCATTATTATCAATATCTTATTGGCCCTTCCAGAGATGTTCTTTTATACAATTCTCTGTGAGTGACTGTATGTGTGTGTGCGTGTGTGTGTGTGTGTGTGTGTGTGTGTGTGTGTGTATGTAAACGCACAGGTCTCAGCAATCTAAATATCTCATTTGTTTGATTGTTTGTTTTTCTGGAAGAATTCCACTTCTGGTAGAACTTGTTTTTGTTTTTATCTCTGTTTGGAGGGGAGGTTATGTTTTGTTTCTATGAGACAAGAAAAAGTGAATGTGGGTTGTTTCACAGTTGGGCCATCAGTGATTTTCCGAAACATCTGGTCCTTATGGATCTGTGCTGCAATTAAACTGTTCATTCCTGCTAGAGCAAGATGTGCCTTCTGAATCCTGGCACCTGCTTTCAAGGTGAAACCTCTCCCAGAAAGATGTGGATGGCTTCAGGAGTGTGAATCTAGGAAATGCTGAGAGCCATAATCAGTTCTGGACGTGAGTGATTAGAAAATATGGAAAGCACTTCAGTGCTCTAAAATTACTCCATAGCACACGGCCAAGAACACAGATCGCTCTGGCATTTTTTCCCCAAAAAATTCACAATTATTTTCCATTCCAAGAACAACCAAAAATTTAACCTACAGTTCTCGGAAATAGTCATCTGTCCTTTGGTTTGTGTCTAATCACTTGAATTCACACATCCTCGTGCCAAACTGCCTCCTCTGAAAGATGGACACTGTGGTGGTTACGTCCCCATGTTGACCCCACAATATTCAGCAGCTTCCCTATTTTACTAAAAGACACTGATGTTCCTGGAATTCACCTCGCGGAGAGCATTGGCACCTCTGGTAGTCAGTCATTAGACCTAGAGGGAAATATTCAACCTCATTTGAAAACATCATCTAGGACAGGTGGAAGTACATTTCCCTGTGGCTCATTTGTTTCACTCAGATACTTTTGTCTTCAAAAACCCATTGAGATTGAGCACTGGCTAAAAAGCTTCATTGGCAAATGGTTTGGCCTCTAAGCTTGAGTAACAGGATCCAGCTGCATTTGTGTTGATTTGGTGCTTAAAACAACCACAACATTATTGTTCATGTTTTTGAGGATCAGGAATTTGAACAGGGATTAGCCAGGTGATTCTTCTGCTCCATTTGGTACTGATTGAGGTCATTTGATCATTTGGTATCTAACTGGTGAGTGGGCAGGGAAGTCAGTCCAAGCAGGCCTCACTCACATGCCTGGCACTTTTGAAGGCACAGTGAATGGGCTATGCTAGGTTGCATCCCTCTGGCTGTCCATACAGCCTCAAGGCCTTTCCACATAGCTGGACTTCTGTCTACAGCCATACCACCCTGAATCTGGTCTGATCTCAGAAGCTAAGCAGGGTCGGGCCTGATTAGTACTTGGAAGGGAGACATAGCTGGACTTCTTTCTTGGTGGCCAAAAGT